TTTGTGGGCTTTTTGGGCTGTGAGGCCGTGTTCAAGAAGAATTTCTTCTTGGCATTTCGCCTACATCTGTGGCTGGCATCTTCAGATGAATTGATGTCATACTGAGGATGGAGCAAGCTTGTTTTCTGCTGTTCCAGAGAACAGAATACAGAACAAAAGAGTCAAACTACAGGAAAAGAGATTCCACCTCAACATTAGGAGGAACCTCCTGACAGAGCTATTCGATAGTGGAATGCACTCCCCCTGAGTGTGGTGGAGTCTTCTGCTTTGAAGGTTTTTAAACAGAGGCTGGATGGCCATCTCTTGGGGGTGCTTAGATTGTGAGTTCCTGCATGGCAGGGGGGTTGGACTAGATGGCCCTTGGGGTCCCTTCCAACTCTATGGTTCTATGAAGAACCTGCATAACGTATCTAAAAAAGCACTCTGTTTGTCAGTTATGGAGCCAGGCTCTGTCCTGTGCAATGCTGTCTCTGCCAATACAATTCTGGAGGGGATGCAATCAAGAAGTAAGGCACTAGGTGCATTTGTACCATGAGCTGAAATCATTTCAGCTTTCACAAACACTGGCTCTTTCCAGAGATGAGGTGAGACCAAGGGACTTGTTTTGTTCAGTTTCTATGGTTTACCTCTTTGGGGCCCAAATCATATCTACTGCCTACATCTTCCCGTTGCTAAGGAGAAGGCATTTTTGCACCCTGCATTCTATTTTGGTATAAAATTGCTCAATTTTCCATCCATTTGCAGGATTCTTTGATTGCAACACATGAAATGAAGGTGTTAGGTTCAGAGTTGCAGAGTGAAGATGACCTTGTTATCAAGATGGCATACAGGTAGGCTAACACAGCCTCCCTTAATGCATTCAGCGCTCAGAACTAAAAAGCACTGTGAGTCTATTCTATTGTTTCCTCCTTAACCATTTTTCCTGGTAACAAAAGGGAGTTAAAAATGGAAAGTGGCTTCACCTGGACACACACACACACACACACACACACGAAAATTCAAAGCTTGAAGCTGGGGAAGTGCAGAATAAAGACCTCAACTGGAGGCGTCCCAAGTGACTTGCTGACCTTCAGCATCTTCCTTACACACACACACAATCATTATTGCTTGTGGACCAATTGGTAAGAATTCTGAAGGTGATTATCAACCCAAATTCCAGTTCCACCATTTCTTACGAATTCCGAAATTCCAGAAAATTCCATACAGGAAAGGCTAACAACCTTATGTTCAAGGAGATGTAGTATTGTGCATTTGATTCACCAGCATCCAAACTAAGATTCTATGCATTTGATTTACAAAGCCAGGATAATGTACAGTATACAGTACATGTTTTATTTTAGCTGCACTTACTGATTGCTATGGCTAACACTAAATTCACAGAATTTATAATTAATATGTAAAGGGATCTTGCAGCACCTTTGAGTCTAACTGAAAGAAAGAAGTTGGTAGCATGAGCTTCCCTAGTCTTGAGCCTACTTTCTCAGATGCATTTGGATCTGATGCATCTGCGGAAGTAGGCTCAAGTTTACAAGAGCTCATGCTACCAACTTTTATCTTTCAGTTAGGGCCTTTAAAAACAGCCAGAAATAATGCAGCTTGGGTCCACTTTAACTGTCCTGGCTCATGCTATAGAATCATGGGAACTGTAGTTTATTGTGGCACCAGAGCTCTCTGACAGAGAAGGCTCAACGTCACAGAAAAATTACAGTTCCCATGATTCCCTAGCACTGAGACAGGGCAGTTAAAGTGGGCTCAAGCTGCATTATTTCTGGCAGTCTGTAAAGGCCCTCAGTCTCAAAGGTGCTGCAAGATCCCTTTACATACTGATTTTCCAGACTAACACAGCTATGTCTTAGAATTTATATTAGTATAGCAGAGCATTTGAGCCACTTTCCTCTCTGAAAAAAATGAGTGTTGGGCTCAGCATGAGTTTTAAGGTTAAATGCTTAATTTAGATTTCTCTATCAAGGAGATGAGATTTCACTTTCTCATCCAGACCCTTTTGAATACAGGGGCCAAGTTAGTAACTGGCAATGAAGAACTGATTGTATGTACTGGTTAGGCCACAAACTGTTAAGTACATAGAGAAATAACTTGCTAAATTTGTTTGTGTGAGGCATAACTTTTGTAGCCTCAGTCAATAACTCTTTTTCGCAAAGCTTGAAAGAATGATGTCTTGACTTTACACTGAAAAGCACCCTTCTAATGTATTTCCATAAACTCCCCCACTTCCAAATTCCCATATACAAAGAGCCCCCCCAAAAAAATTCTTTTAAAAAGCATGTTTCTTGTGTGTTGATTCAATTTGTGTTTCTTAGCATAGGTAGGTCAATAGTATTTCAAGAAAGGATATAGAAATGTAAAGTTGCGGGAACCAAAGTTTCAGTTTACTCAGTATGTGTTTCACTTGCACATTAAAGACCACATGAACTCTGAGGATTTGTGAATCGCTGGTACACAGCGTTTACAAGACATACCACCCCTAAGGGAAGGAAACTGCTGAAACTGCAAAAACATGTTAGTGCTCATGACTATGACAGGATGATAGATGTCTATATTTTGCTTGTCTGTCACAAAAAAATGGTTAAGATGCGTCGCATTCTCTTAGAGCACTTCTAATCATTGCTATACATGCACATCTGACCCACAAGTATAATTAGTAGTAACAGAGGCCTTAACAACTATACTAAACATAAAGATCTGTTGAGATTGCTTTCCACACTATCCGATTTAACACAGATTAATCACCAAGTATTTTGGCAATGATATGTGGAGAAGATAATTATTTAGCTGCTGTGAATTCTGGCTATGTCCAGAAAGTTACTAAAACAACTTGTATTTTTTTTTTAAGCATCAGAATAATACATAACTGTGAAGCAGCCCTTTGATCACACTCACAACTTCATTTGGAACTAGCTTCCTTCAACTCTGGAAACAAGTGTGGACCAAAAATTTCTCCCTCCTCTCCTTCTTGTTGCTGACTCCTACTTGTTTTATAACAGCAGCAACAAAATTATTTGTTTAAACCTGCTGAAATGGAGAGCTTGGTAATAAACTACATTAAGTGTGGACTTGTGTGAAAGAATTGTGAACTCATTTCTAGTACTGAAAACAAATTCTTAAGCTCTTTAATTTTTTGACAATACTTTTTATTGTGTTTACACATAAAAACATAAACAAGAGACATAAACTGAGACAATGACATCTACCAACAAAACACAACCCCATTACTCACCCCATTCCCTGAGACATAAATAAGTCTCTTTTGTGTGTTTCTCCATCAGTTTTCTCTGCCTTTACTCCATCCCATGTGTTTACAAGGTTAAACAGGGTTTTTTCCATATTTCAAAATTCAAAAGCTGTTTATATTGTCATCCCTCTTTTCTTTTTAAGAAAGAAAGAAAAAGAAAACTCTTGAATTTTGAAGATCTTTTGTCCTGACTGCCACTGAGGCATTTTGGGACTCTGATAAAAAATACAAAACAAAAGCAAAGTAGAGCTGTTTGACAGTGGAATATATGTTACCATAATGCCATTTTTCTCTAACACGCACACACACACATTTTGCCTTTTATGCATTTTAACTCTTTCCTAAACAGACAAAGTTAAAGCAAATGAAAACTATGAAGATAGAGTACAACTATACCTTAAGATAGGAGAGGAATCATGTGGCCTCTGGATTTTGTTGAACTCCAAATTCCCACAGCCATAACCACTAGTGAAGAATGCTGGGAGTTGCAGTCCAATGATATCTGGATGACCTTACTATTCCCTACCCTAGATGCTACACTATTTGTTTACAGGATACTAAGCTCCACTTACTATAATACTTGCTTTTCTGTGGTTTCTCATCTCAGAAAACAGTTACAATGGCCTTCCACATTCTCTGGGGTTAGGGGCACAGGACCCCCTGAAAGTG